GGGGGCACTCGCCCTGGCTCTGCCACACTCGGCTTCTCTTGCTTTGCTGGGCTCTTTGCCCTCTGAGAGGCGCTGCTTCCGCAAGAGGAGGGTACAACATCCCCTCTTCCTTCCCCAGTATCCTGGGTCCACACCCACCCATCTCGGGGCTGGAGTCAGTCTCTGCCCAGCCAGCAGGAGCCAGGGTTGTAAGGATGCAGGAGAGCCAGGCTCAGCTACTTTTGCCATGGCCTGATGGAACTGGATTCCCAACCTGGGCAGCAGCGTCCCTTATGGTAATGCTGGCCCTTCTATAGAGCTCCCCAACCTAAATCCCCAAAGCTAGGTTGGGGCAGTAGCCCCAGTCTACAACAGCAGAAACAGAACAGAGGAGGGCAAGGACCCACCCAAAGTCACACAGAAGTCAGTGGCTGAGTCAGGGGAAACAAAATAAACAGGAGTTTTGGCCCATTCTCTAACTACATTCTTGGAGTTTTGACTAGAACCCAGGAGTGCTGAGGCCCAGTCCCCCTCCCTCCACCCCTACTATAACTACTTAACCTGCTCCCCTCCCTGAGCTGGGGACAGAACCCAGGCGTCCTGGCTCCCTGCCCCCTGCTCTAACCACCAGACCTTGCTCTCTCACAGAGACAGGGATGGAACCCAGGAGTCCTGACTTCTTAGTTGGAGTTTCAGGGGATGGGGGGCGGTTCTGCAGTGGGTCAAGGGTGGGTCCTACTGTGCTGGCACTTTGCCTGCATCTGGCTATTGCTGTGATTGGCACTAATAAAGCTTCTAAGCATCCTTAAGTCTCTGGTCTCTCTGTGCTGCATCCCCCCATTCGGGACCCTGCTGCCCCCCACCACGCAGCAGCTGGCCCCTCCCTCTGCACCAGCCCAAGAGCCTCTGCTCTCAGTGGGCAGGGTGTCCCATGGAGCTGGGGCGTCCCATCGAGCTGGGGCCACTGGAGAGATGAGGAGAGAGTAGGGTGATCAGATGTCCCAATATATGGGTCTTTGTCTTATATAGGTGCCTATTACCCCCCAATCCCTGTCCCGATTTCTCACAATTGCTATCTGGTCAACCTAGGAGAGAGGCTAGTCAAGGGGCTGGTGAGA